CAACCCACCTAGAAATGAATGCAGAATACTTGAAGGTAAACATCCTCAGGTACTAGAGGAAAAGAAGATTCCATGAATAGGAAATTAGGAGTGAGGCATTTTCAGAATTTACTGAAGGGAAACCTCCAACATATCAATAGCACTGTGTGTTCTCACATCACACAACATTATTAACCATGCTCCCAGATAACATTATATAAGACAACACTGTTGATCTCACATCGTCAAACAACAGCAGATAACATTATTAACCATGCCGGGTAAGGTTCCATAAGGGTTATTATAAGGAGAAAGAAGTCCCAAGAGCCAGGACAGTCTAATAAGAAGCTGGATGGTGGCTTTATTCCAAGTTTTTCGACTTGCATGAGATATAAGGCACCAACATCCAGGCATGTGACAGCTTAGTTCCGGACTTTCTTCCGCTTTGGAACAAACTGTCGAGCCCATAGATGCTTCCCTCGTATCACGAACTTGACCCTTGGGTTCCCACGAAGGATGTGGAGGATTGTCTCCTGTGTGAAAAAACAGATGTGTGCATATTGTGGTGGCCTAGGTTCAACTGGCTCCTCCACGCTTATGACTTCAACACCTCCAAAGTTCCTGTGAAATTAAAGAAATACAATAATCAAAATTAAGGAGCCAACAGCCATGTATCTCAAAAACTTAAAAGTTCCTTTACTTTTAGTGGCTGGGGAAATGATTAGCTGTTTACATTATATATATCTTAATAAGTTCAGTATTGCATTGTACAATCATAAACTGTGCATAGAAATTGATGCATTTAGCACATAACAAAAATTTTAGGTGAGAGTGCAGTTAAAAAAAATTAGGGCTGTTAGTCTGATGCTGTGTGTATACTAGATGCAGAGCTCATCTGCATCACATCTTGTATCGTTTGAAAATCTATCACTGGTAAAAGGTAACATGTTCATCACCTACAAGTTTCATACTTGTGGAACAATGAAGTTTCTCACATAAATGGTTGTTCTGGCAGTTCCATCTTTTAAATGGAAGCTGTGAAAACGTGGAAAAGTACTGATTACTGATAAAACTTGTCCACCTATAATATTGTAGATTGTCGAGTAGGACCTCAAAGTATATAGTTTAATTTTGTTCTTCTGCCAACTGTATAAATCATGTGATCAGGTACACAAATTAAACAGCAAATTAAATATGTTTTGCGTCCGTTTTGTCCAATCAGTGACGTACCCGCCAATCAATCCCTAGTAGACTATATAATTTGAGATATATGATGAATATGTGGTTCACCTTATAACATTCTATAGCATAAATACCTATGTAGTCGATCTGTGCACTGTTGTATACCTAACAAGTTGGTTAATAATATTTCTGGAAAGAAGGGGCTAAAAGTACCCCTGTGGTACAACATGCATTGGCGCCTGCGGCTTTACCTACGCATTATGTAACAATGAGTATGACACCTGAATGAATCAGTTTTAAAATTCAAATTTTATTAATCAATCCAACATCTCTCAGTAAATATTTCGTTTATCAACTGTAACATTTCGAAGTCAGCAACCCAAAAATCCACCATTATTTACATATCTGTAAGTAATTTTAATAACCTGACAAGAATTGACTTTACCCCTCAAAGAATTCGTATAGTTCATCTGCAGTAAATGGGTAGCCATTGGAGAAAGTCACGAAGAGAGTTCTCTCGTCGCGTGGTATACTGGGCTGTTGCTGCACCCGGATCTGTAGCAAAATATGTGAAAGCAAGGTATTAGGTCTTGTAACCACCAAGATAATTGAATAAATGTTGTGCAGACGACCAGGACAGTGAAACTTAGCAAAATTCTTACTGGATGAGCTTCTGGATCATCCCTTAAGTTCAGGCTATCAAAAAGGGTCGCCAAAGGGTATGTTGATAGGCACTGATCGATTGGATTTTCTATATCTCTGAGGATCTGATTTTTTGGGGATGGCATGCTTCTAGAACTTGAGCCTTCTTCATGACTCGGAGTACTAGTAAAGGAGGCCTTGATCTTAGACAAAAGATCCTTCTGCAGGAATGTTTAGGGAAAGGAAAAAATTAGAAACATCTTTCAACATCTCTCGCAGACTCATAGCTCTAAGTACACTCTTACCGTGCTCATCATAGCTTTACCCTTCATGTTATGGTGCTGAACTTGTTGATTGGTACGGTAGATACGTTCCTTTGCATCTGCTATTTCTAGAATATCTTCTAAAGCCTTGTAACAGAAATTGTTGAGGTAGAAAACAACACCTTCCATAGCTTCTTTCTGGAAATAGCCTTCTTCCTCAGATCTATGATTGAAGTGACTAGACTTACGACGCAGAGCTTCAATGAACATTTTTCCAGCAAAGGCAATTCCCCGGAGATGATAGTTATCGAATGATTCTATGCTTGCAAGGAAATCAGGATGACCATTCCCTTCAAGCCACAACCAAAAGGAGATTATCTCCATGGAAAGGGAACACTCCATCTGAAGGGAAAAGACCATCCGGGAGAACAACTGGCGCACAATCATATGGATTGAACTAGTAGCATTGAATAGATCGGGCGGCGCCTTGGAAGCCATGAAAGCCAGTGAAGGAAGTGAGGAAAGAGGAACTTCGAGTTTTGAAACGAAGGGGGGGCTGGATTGAGTGAAGAACAAAATGGAGTCTCGACTAGGCTTATCAGTTAAGTATATGCATAAATGTTCACAATGGGTTGTTTCCAATCCCTGTCCACGTTAGCTAGATGGCCCACAATGCATAGACTGGAGGATAGGCAGAGGTGACAAAATAAGCATACGAAGCAAAAGCTGTACTCATTAAAAGGTAATCACATTTTGAGCACACACCTGCCAAATAGATGATGAAAATTTGCATCTACCACCTTTGATAAGTTGGAACTTTAGAAGAGCACATCGATTTTCTCTGTGGTGTCTACAGATTGTAAAAATAAATGCTGCAAATCCAAGTCTACTGAAATGCCCTTTGAATAAATAAGGAAATTATACATGGTAGAATTGCAAATGTTCACAAAAGACAAAGTTGGTAAACTTTAATGTTCCTCTAGAAGAAGGAAATGCGTTCAACAAGACTGGTTTATTTGCAGAAAAGGATTTGAACGGTACACATGAGATTTAGTAGTAATCATTTGAGATAACTCATAATGTAGAATTAAATGTATTTTTAAAATTATTTTTCTTTAGATGGATTCCAAAATTTTAAGTAAAAGATTGAGTAAATATGTTTTTGAAGTACAAGTACCTACCACCTCCATCTCAAAATATCAAGCGTATGGGATTAAGGAAAGTCAAACTTGGTACCTTTTCAGCAAAACAATTAATTGAAGTATGTGCATCTTTGGTACAAAAGATGCATCACTAGTTTAACTAATATATTTGTTTTGTAGAAATTGGTAACGTATTATAAGAGAAATTGGTAGTCGAAGTATATATTCAAAGACTTCATCAAATCCTAATTAAATATGCCCTATATTTGGGGACAAAGGAAATACTAGCAAATATAATTTTAGGATATATATATATATATATATATATATATTCCACAAAGTGGTTGCTTTATATTTATAAGATTTATAAAGCACCACTTGTTCATCCTAATGACCCTTTATAAAATATTGGTCTTGCATTTTGGTTTATCCAAAGTCAAGCTTCGCTAACTTTGCTCAATTTTATAGAAAATTATATTAACATCTACAATACCAAGTGACTGCAAATATCATGACCTATGTTATGGTAGATTTAGTGGAACTAATTTGACATTATAGTCATTTGTGTATTTTTTATGAACTTGAGCAAAGTTAAAGTGTGACATACAAATATGGAGCATTCATGTTTTCGGTAGCAACCACCAATACAAGCTAGTGAAAGTCACACAACTTTGGATCGAAAGAGTGAAGTGAGCTAATACAACCGATCCCACAAGTGCCTAGCTAATTAAGCTACACAAGAGATCAGTTAGTTTCATTAGACTTAAAACCATTCGCTTCACACAAAAAGGATTGTAATTTGTTCATCTGTTGCACCTGTGTGAGCTATAAGATCATGTAGTTCGCTTGTATGGAAGAAGTGTGACTCTCGAAAAGTTCGCTGACATAATGTTATGTAAAATGAGCATGTGTTGGGAAAAGAATAATGAAACATGTTGAGGTAGGGATATAGTGGCAGCTAAGTTTTTTACACGCTTGGGAAGATACTTGTATCCGAAGTGGCAATTACTTCCAAATTTGATAATATATGTACGGAGCCGGAGCCGTTTTTGCGTACGGACGGGGATCCGCCAAAAGTATGTGGCTTAATTCGTCCGGAGGGCTCCGGCTACATCAGCGGAGCGAGCGCGGATGAGCCGTGCCAAATGCTCCCTTATCACGACAACCAATTTTTTATGAGAACCGACAAGTTGAATTCTGGCCCGTTAATGACATAGAAGATTACTAATTCATGTAGCATGGATGAACGAAAAACCCGCCTTCCACTAAAATAAGGGTCACCTTGGAATGCAGGAAGCACTATTCACGTGCACGGCTGTTTAGCCCCGTGTACACGCCGTGTAAACGCTGCATAGTGGCGCTTACCGTGCCCGTTTAATCATCCGTTTACCCCGTTTAATCACCATTTAGTCTGTTTAAATGGCCGTTTTGCTCGAATAAATAGCTAAGCGGTAGGTGACCGTTTAGTCTGTTTAAACGTTTAGGATAACACTGGCAGGAAGTTTAGAGGAGTTTTATAGGAATCATTTCATTTTTGTATGAGAAATGCAAATGAAATAGGAAAAAAAATCCTGCGCTCCTCAGTAGAACTCTTTGTTTTATTAAAAAATCCTTAAGAATGATATGTTGAAAGAGTTAATTCTTCCTATGTCATGCACGGCCTGGTGCTGAGAGTTGATTCTTTGTCGTGTTTGCCATTTGTGCAGTAGGGTGGAGGTCAAGGCGGAAAGACCGGGTCCTGCGGAAACTGCCGATGCCGTTGCCTGAATAAGTGAATAGGTGGGTGGCAGGCATGCAACGCAATGGTATGGTAGTAACTCTATTCCTGGCTGGTTTCCAGTAAGACCAGACGTTTCCACCCCAGGCTATTATCGTGTAGCGTCCACTGCGTCATATCTCTCGTCGTTGCATCTCCAAGCAGGCCCAGATCTCGATCGATCCTCTGCAGAAACGAGAAAAAAAACAATGTCTTCTTCTCGCTGGGTTAGGCCGGAGGTATGAATTGATTACAGCATCAGGTTCAAATTAATTAACCCCTAGTATGTATGGTCTTCCATATCCAACATGATTTTATGTGTCTGTAAATGATTGCCAAAGATTATGGTTCATCCTTTTTTTGTGATTGATTAAACTAATCAGGAGTAAGATTCATTTATGTTTTGGGCAATCTGCCGCCTGTCGTTGTAACTCACCAGTCTCTATCTCTATCTATCTATCTATCTATCTATCTATCTATCTGTATCTATCTATATCTATCTATATATGCATTTTTCACCATTAAAATAAGAAAAAAGAACCATAATCATTTATTCTAAAAGAAAAATCCCTCACGGTCACGGACATATGACATATCTGCATGTGGATGCATGCATGCAGGTGTACCCGCTGTTCGCGACGACAGGGGTTGCGGTGGGGATCTGCGTGGTGCAGCTGGTGCGCAACATCACCACCAACCCGGCCGGAGCGGGTGATCAAGGAGAACCGGGCGGCCGGGGTGCTGGACAACCACGACGAGGGGCGGCGCTACTCGCAGCACGGCGTGCGTAGGTTCTGGCTCTCCAAGCGCCGCGACTACATGCAGGCCATGGACAACGTGCCCACAGACCCATCGTCGTCAACGCCCACCACCAAGTAGATATACACAAATACATATGCCCAAGATATATTAGCACAACTGCAATGCATTATATTAATTATTGCAGCATCATATATCCCTATATGCGTTGATCAATATAATTCTCAGATAAGTGTTACTATGTTACATCCAGTCATTGTACGTGTTCGCATGCATTTTGACTGTAAGCTTAATGTTCATACTCTCTATATATAAATCGGATCTCACCCCGCTATACATGTTCACACTACCGGATACAGGAACTTTGCCGAGTGCCAGGGGCACTCGGCGAAGCCCCAAAACACTCGGCAAACCCTTTAACGGCAAACGCTAGTTTGCCGAGTGTTTTTTGTTGAGCACTCGGCAAAGACGTTGCCGAGTGTCAAAAAACACTCGGCAAACTTTTTTTTCAAAAAAATAAAAAAAGTCACGCCGGCACCACACCCGCACCACCAGCACCGCCGCGGCCACCACCATCCATGCCGCCGCCACCATCCACGCCTCGAGTTCATGCAAGTACCCAATCAGACCAATGCATGGGCACCAACCGAGGAGGTGACGATTTTACGCCATGGGACAGCGCGAGCCCTGGCCACCCTCCCGCTCCCCACCAACGCCGTGCTCAGCCCTAGCCCGAGCCGGCCGCAGGGCGTCGTGGAAGCGGCGGCGAAGGAGAGGGGCGCCGTCGGCCGCGGCGCGCAGGAGGGCCGGCGAGTGGACCCGGCGAGGGGCGGCGCCGTCCTCGCGAGCGCGGCCGTGGACTCCATCCCTTTCCACAAGTTCGTGCGTGGCGAGCAGAAGGTAGGGGCCGGATTCGGGAGAGGGAGGTCCGGATCTGGGGGCGGCGGGCCGGGAGAGGGGGGGAGGGGGCGGCGCCACCGGGAGAGAGGGAGGGGGCGCCGGATCTTGGAGAGGAGGGGAGGGGGCGCCGGGAGCGAGGGAGGGGGCGCAGGGAGGAGGAGGGGCGCCGGAGAGAGGGAGGGGCGCCGGAGAGAGGGAGGGGGCGCGGGGAGGGGAGGGGACGCCTGGGGGAGGGAGGAGGGGGGGGCGCCGGGAGAGGAGGGGAGGGGCGGGGCCGAGATTTGAGGCGAGGCCAGCGAGGAGAGGGAGGAGGGGGGAGGGAGGGAGGGAGGAGGAGGGGCCCGGTGGGAGGCCACAGGGGAGGGGAGGCTGGGAGGGGAGGGAGGAGGGCTACAAAAGGGGGAGGGGGGGCGGTGTGCGGGAAAGGAGGAGGGAGGCGGGGTTTTATTTCCAGAAAAAAAATTATTTGCTGAGTGTTCTAGATCTGAGCACTCGGCAAAGTTTTTTTTCATTTTTTTTCTTTTCCTTCTTTTCAGAAAAAAATTTATTTCTTTGCCGAGTGTTTTTGTCTTAACACTCGACAAACCCGCTCTTTGCCGAGTGTTATTCTAAAAACACTCGGCAAACCCCCTCTTTTGCCGAGTGTTTTTAGAACAGCACTCGGCAAAGAACTTAGTCGTTGAGTGCCCGAGAGAAATACACTCGGCAAACATAAAAACACTCGGCAAATTTGAGGATTCCTGTAGTGTCAATAGTCAAACTATTCGTTTCCTATATCGTGTTTGTATTTTTACAGCCTGTTTTTCTCCTTGTGGTTTCATTTTAATTTTGGGATGTTCAATAGAAGAATGATATACATTTGGGCACACCACATTCATTCCGTGATGGAAATACTGCTCTCCCTCCATTCCCACCTATAAGTTGTTTTGGCTTTTTCTAGATACATAGAGCCTATGTATCTAGATATAGTGTGTATCTAGATGCATAACAAAAACTATATACTTAGAAAAGATAAAAGCACTTATAATAATTTAGAACGGAGGGAGTGGGAATTACAATAGATGTTGGCACATCAAAGTGAATAGAGCAAGGGAGGGAGACGGATCGGATATGGTCACAAGAACATAGCAGCGCGTGGTAGAGGTGCGAGAGATCAAAGATATGGGGGAGCTCATGCCCAAGGCTACGAAGGAGTACATGTCTGTTTTACTAGTGACTCTTCTTACACATGATTTCTACCATGGTAGTTTTTATTATTGACGGGTTCTACACGCATGCCTTTTTTTTTTTTGTCCCTTCTCACACCATTTCCCCATCCTCTCTCTCCACTCTTGTAAAATAAAGGCCAGAGAAGGTAGGAGGGGAAAACTGGTGACGGTACCGAGGGTTGCACACTTGTGCCTGGGGATATCTATCATGGATAGGGGTGAGGGAGTATGAGTGGAGGTGTATGGGAGAGAAATATGTACTGGGCTTGGACCAAAACACAGCTAGCCTAGTAACCTAATGTAGCCCCGTTCGCAATTGCATGTCTAGTTGTCCAACATTTTGCTAATGGGACAATTAACCATATAATTAGATGACCAGGTTTTAGGTCGCTCTTATCGAGTTGGAGTGCCTAATCCAGCCCGGGAGATTGATTAGGATGATTGATCAAATGACTTTGATAACACCACACTAGGTAAATATACCATATGCACATCTAGTTAGTATGGTTTAGCTTCATCTCGTGAAAAGTTGAATAGGGCTCTCTAGATTAGTTTTTAAGTGATCCAGTTCATCCCTCCCCTCTTGGGCCACTCATTCTTTACAATTGTATCCAAGAACGTCCGAGTGGAAAACGGTGGCCATTGGTGCCTTGTGTATCCATTGTTTATGTGGAGTTTCATGGTAAAGCGCCAGAACTCAATGTATCCATTGTTTGCCTTTTCTTTGCTAGGTGTTTATCCTTTTGTACTTGATATTTTTGAATTTAGGGTCTTGAAATGCTATGGAAGCGCCTTAAGAGCCCTTTAATGTGCCACCTGTCATAAAAAAATATCTAGGTTTGTCCTAAGTGAAACTTTTAAACTTTGATTATCAATTGTCTAAAATCTTATATAAATTGACAAATCAATGTTGAAATTTCTAGTTTCATTATGAAAATACTTTATATCATATAACTCTTTTTTCCATATTGCATCCTTTTTGACCGGCGGTTAGCACGCCACTAACAAAGCAGTATCCCTACCATTGTACCCTGGTCCACGAGCATGGATGCACTACAACGTACCTGGGTTGCTGCAACAATCAACAATTGGCATTAAAGAGTAAATTTACATCAAGTTATGGATTTTGTGACGCTTGCATTACACATTCCCATTCGTTGTCTATCTGACATGCTTAAATACCTTTCGTGACGAACACGGCTTATTTCATTGCTAAATTTTCGATGTACTGCTTTGCCAAAAAAATCTATGACATCTCCATATTATATCATTGTTTTAGGAAGAACAGCCACTAACTATAAGTGCCATAAACCACTATGATGACTTGGCTGTTTTTGCACTATAAGATAGGTCCGAGAGAAGGCCAAACAGAGACTCACTTGCTCATGGGGAAGGCCCGTGAGCTATATGTTTCCACAAAGTTACTTGATTAGGAGCTTCTCTAGGGAGGATTAGGGGGGAGCGAGAGCTTCTCGATACATCGTGAAAAAAATCGTCATTGGCAAGTTTGCATTCGCTAACTCATTTACATTTCCGACACTTTTGCATTTCTAGGTTGTGTGCTTTTCCTAATCTAGCTTGTTAGGTTAGCTGTTAGAATTGGAATCATATCTATGCTGCAAAACTTTATTTGTGTCAGAGATCGCAATACTTTACAAAACCGTAGTGTACATTTATGTAGTACTTTGTGTAGGTTTTGATAATAAGTAGGATATAGAGGACATTAGGTTTTAAATTGTCTAGTTCACCCGTTTGTCTAGATATGCATAGAACAAATTATACATTCTCTTGTAAAGCATATAAGGCATATTTGGTAGAATATAGAAAAAGAAATAGCACGTGGAAGGAGGTTTTCGTAGAACGCCCCGTCCCCAAGCGTACGAAGAACGGCCCAGCCCATGCAACACACGCTGGGCCACGAACAGAGGAGAGACCTGGCCGGCCTTTTTCTTTTGTTTATTTATTATTAGTTTTTTTATATACTTTTGTTTTTTTTTAATTAAAGAGAGAGAGAGAGAACGATTTGGAGCAAACCGGCGCGGCTCTTTCGGAGAAGTCGGCGCCGAATCCTCCTCGACGTTCCAGTTGGGCATGCATGTGAAAGCGACGCAGCCGCCGGGCCCACAAGTGCGTGCAGTCCAGCTTGCGTCTGCATTGCATGCCCAAACGACGACTCGCCTCCGACTCTTTCTTTGGAGGCTGGCTGAGTTCACGAAGCAGCACGGCGCCGCCTGCCTATATAACACGCAGCAAGGCTGGCGGCTGGCCACAAGTCGTCTCCTCTGACTCTGATCTGAAGCGCGTACGAGAGAGACGCAGGCGGCGGTTGAGGAGGAGAAGGAGGGGAGATCCATCCAAGACGACGAAGATGGCTTCCGCGTATGCGTCATGGTCCAAGAGGTGGATGCGCCCCGAGGTACGTAATTGGTGTGCTGATCTGTTCGATGGATCATGGATCTGATCGATGAGTAATGTCCCTGATGGTGGCGTTAATTCATCGATGGATGGATCAGGTGTACCCGCTGTTCGTTCCGATGGCGGCGGCGCTGGGCATCTGCTCGTACCAGCTGGTGCGCAACATCACGGGCAACCCGGAGGTGCGGGTGACCAAGGAGAAGCGGGCGGCGGGCGTGCTGGACAACCACGAGGAGGGGGAGAGGTACGCCATGCACGGCCTCCGCAAGTTCGTCCGCGGGAAGAAGCCCGAGATCATGGCCTCCATCAACTCCTTCTTCGCCGACCCTCCCAAGGACGACTAGGCGCTAGCTAGGCGGATCGGAGACCGATCCAACGATCGTCGATCATATATTATCTATCATTCATTACCGGCCGGCGGTACATTTTTGCTTTTGTATTCTAATAATCTTCCCCCATATAAATTAATGGAAGAACATGCATATGTTGTGATGCGTGCTTGTATTGGCTGCGAACAAATTAAACAGGCCTAGGCCTGATGATTTTCATCACATACCTACCGAATTCGAATAACTATGGTGGTGGTGTTGCGTGCTG